GTGGTTGCAGCAGTACATCGGTAGGGAACTTCCAGAATTCAAGCCAGATTCAGAAGAGGACTTGGAATGAGGGATATCATTGCTAATGTCAGATGGATCTTGGCTGAAAGCAGAGAATACCAGAAAAATGTTTACCTGTGTTTTATTGACTATGCAAAGGCATTCGACTGTGTGGATCATAACAAATTATGGATAACATTGTGAAGAATGGCAATTTCAGAACACTTAATTGTGCTCATGTAGAACCTATACATAGACCAAGAGGCAGTCATTCGAACAGAACAAGGGGATACAGTGTAGTTTAAAATTAGAAAAAGTCTGCGTCAGGGTTGTATCTTTTCACCGTACTTATTTAATCTATACGCCGAACAAAGAATCCGAGAAGCTGGACTATGTGAAAAAGAAAAAGAACATGGCATCAAGGTTAGAGGAAGACTCATGAACTACCTATGATATGCAGATGACACAACCTTGCTTGCCAAATGTGAAGAGGACTTAAAGCACTTCCTGATGAAGAACAAAGACTACAGCCTTCAGTATGGATTACGCCTCAACATAAAACAAAAGTCCTCACAACTGGACCAATAAGCAACATCATGATAAATGGAGAAAATATTGAAATTGTAAAGGATTTCATTTTACTTGGTCCCACAATCAACACCCGTGGTAGCAGCAGTCAAGAAGTCAAATGACGCATTGCAAAAGACCTCTTTAAAGTGTTAAAAAACAAAGCTCTCACATTGAGAGGACTGAGGTGCGCTTGACCCAAGCCATGGTATTCTTAATTGCCTCATATGCATGCAAAAGCTGAGCAGTGAATAAGGAAGACCAAAGAAGAATTGATGCATTCAAATTATGGTGCTTGCAAAGAATATTGAATATATCATGAAGTGCCAGAAGAACAAACAAGTCTGTTTTGGAGGAAGTACAGCCAGAATGCTCCTTAGAAGGGGAGATAGTGAGACTTTGTCTCACGTCTTTGGACATGTTATCAGGAGGGACCAGTCCCGGGAGAAGAACATCATGCTTGGTAAAGTAGAGGGTCAGCGAAAAAGAGGAAGACCCTCAACGAGATGGACTGACACATTGACTGCAACAGTGGGCTCAAGCATAGCAACAATTGTAAGGATGGTGCAGGACCAGGCAGTGTTTTGTTCTGTTGTACATACAGTTGCTGTGAGTCAGAATCAATGACACCTAACAACAACACAACAAGAAGTTGAATTGGTAAAAGTTGTGTAATAGATATATTTACAATAACTACAAAAAAAAAAAAAAATAGCTGCTGAGGCTGCTTATGTACAACCAAACACCCAGTGGGATTTGGTTTCTTGGTTTAGAGGTTTAAGGTCATAGTTTCACGGGACATCCCAGTTAATTGGCCTAATAACATGTTTAGTGCTTCTGTTCTACCTCCCAGTTCATTGTGTAGTGACTGGGATCTTAAAAGCTTGCAAGCGGCCATCCAAGGCACAAGAATTGCTCTCTATTTGCCTGGAGAAGCAGAGGAAGAAGGAGAGTCAGGAATAGGAGGAGGATATAGAATGTGTGGCTCATTGCCTCCATGAACAACTGCCTCCTTTGCCATGAGACCAGAACTGTATGGTGCCCAGCTACCATTACTGAACATTTTGGTCAAAGATTTTATAGAACAATCCTGATCAAAAAGGGGGAAAATGCAGAACAGAATTTGAAATTCTCATGTAATCCAGTCATTCTGGAGCCACGGAAGTTGGATGAACACCCGAAACTATTGCCCTGAGATAATCTTTAAACCTTAAATCAAAAATACACCTGAAGTCTTCAAACCAAACAATAGTTTAGTTTTAGTGGTAAAGAATATCTGCCTTGAGTGTTATGTTCTTTTAAGATCTATCTAAATAGGATCAAATTGATAGCAGCAACTCGAAAGATGAGATAGGAACCTTGGGGGCAGTGAGTTCATGTTAATGGAGGAGGAACAACTCAGAAAAGGAGTGCAAGAATGGTTGCACAACTCGAAGAATGTAATTAATGTCACTGAATTGTACATGTAGAAACTGTAGAATTGGTATATGTTTTACTGTGTATATTCTCAACAACAGCATAATAATTTAAAAAAGATTTGAGAGGAGGGGAAGGATTCCATAATCTTATGATTAGGTCTCATTCTTTTAGTGGGCTATACCTCTGGGCTCTGACCTTCACAAGTGCTTCTCAACTTCTTTCCCCCCTTTAGATGATACATAAAGGCTAGAGAGGGCTGGAGTTGGGGGTTTCTCTTTCCACATGTTTGTTAGGCTCTAGTAAAATAGCTTGCTGTGCAGGTAGGCCTTCGTTAAAGAGAACAGAATGCTCTGGGCTATTTCAAAATGGTTCATTTTGCCCTCTCTCTGCAAGGAAACATGAGGTGGTTTTCTCCCCCACTCTTTATTGTGAGGACATGGTGGGGCTCCTGGAGGGTAGGACTCAAGATAGTGTGGGGCTCCCCTAAGGTAGAGCCTCCCAGAATTCTCTCTCAAGTCAGTCCACACTTAGTCTCCAGTTAATTATTCTATGTATTCCTACCAGTTACTGGCTCCAGTGGTGGTTTTGGCTTCTGCTAAGCTGTGGTTCTCTGAATCTGCCGTCTCTCCAGTTTTCACAGTGGCAGTTTGCTTTGTGACCTCAGTTCTCTGATAGATCTAAGAAGAGTTATTGATTTTCAGTTTGTTCAGTTTGTTGTTATTTTGAGGACAGGAGTGACAACTTCTAAGCTCTTTACGTGTTGGACCAGAAGCTGGAAGTCCACTCAGTTGCTTTTTATTGAACCCACTGTGCCTGGTGCTGAAGAGACAGAGATTGATACAGTGGGAAAGGTTGGATTAAAGGACTTCAAATATTCCATTATGTCTGTTGTTGAAATTTCTGATATGCTTCAGGTTCCTTTGCCTTAATAAGAATATGGCACTCTGATTTTTGTATCATTCGCTCTGCCTTTTAAACATTCCAGTGTTTCACTCTCACATTTCTTTTGTGGAGTACCACTTCATATTACTCTCTGAAAGAGTGCAGGCCTTCGACATCGTGCACATGACAGTATTTGATTTTCCTACCTTTGAACTGAGAGATTAAAGTTGAATGTGGAGTTGAATGCATTTCATGGAATAATGTTGATTTTTCAAGGGAAACACTTAATTCCAGGTTGACATACATACATTTTTAAATTTAAGGATTTATCAGGAAGTTTCATGAGAGAACGCAATGCTTACTAAATGTAAAGTGACATTATTTATTAATGTTATTGGAAGTTTATTGCACTTAAAGTATACTTGGAACAGTCTGGTTCTAAAATTGCACTTTTTTTTTTTTTTCCTGAGGGGAGTTATAGTTTCTGTATACTTAGATATTGAATCTCCAGCTTTAGTATTTGTAGATTGACTATATATCTGGACTAATTTTATTGCTGCCTGTAGAGATCAGATAGTACCAGGAGAAACAGAGGTGCCAAGAACAACGTGTGCAGATTTGGAGGTGATATTGGGGTCTGTGCACATTTCGGCCCATCGAGTAAGGCCAGCTGTTCATTTGTTTCATGTCTAGGTTTGGAATTCACCCAGTTGCAGGCCGGATGCCTGGTCAGCTTAATGTGCTGCTGGCTGAAGCTGGGGTGCCATATGATATTGTGTTGGAGATGGATGAGATCAACCATGATTTCCCAGGTAAGTGATGAGGGCAGTGGTGAAGTTTAAATATTGTTAATGTGAATAAAGGAATACCAGACTTAGGATACAAACCTTGGGATCAGTGAAGACCTACAAGTCAGATGAAGAATACCTGCATATAGTATAGTATGCAGTTGAAAATAAGTGAAAGACAGTATTGAATAAGGTACTTTGTAGGCAGCATGGCTAAATTTTGTTTCTCTGAGAAGATCTGGAGGATTGGTGAAATCCTGGGAAGCAGTGCAGTGTAGTGTAGTGTAGAGGTGAAGACTGGGGCTCTGAGTAGACCTGAATTTTGAACCCAACTCCTGACTCTTACTAACTAGTAACCTTGAGCTTGGTATTCAATCTTAGTTTCCTTATTTATAAAATTGCTTCTGTTGATAATTTAGCGTCCTGCTAGTATCTGGATTTTAGTGGTTTCCAGTTGTACCAGTTCATGTTCAGGGAAGTAACTTTTTTTTTTTTTTTAAAGTAGTAGGACTTTAGTAGATAAGGTGCTGTAGTTTATGGCTGGAATTGGGTAGATGTTGAATGCTAATGACGTTTGGCTCAAGGTCATGTTTGTTAAAATTAAACCAGTTCCCTCTGGCAAGTATCCACTGTAAACTTAAAAAACTATTGTTTATTATAGAAAATAATGAAATCGTGTGCATGTCTAGATTCACATGGCATTTTTGGCAAAGTTCTAAGGTAGTTTATATGATAGTCCCTATAGAGAGGATTTAGTCCATTTTAATTTTATGCCCCTTTTCAAAATTCACTGCTAAATTATGTGTGAAACCAGCCTGTTCCAGGAATTAGGGACACAGCTTGAAGAGAGTATAGACTCATAGACCATTGTCTTTTAAACATCAGTGGGCATCTTACGTGGTCATTCTAAAAGTTGAAAATGGAATGCAAATCTTATAAAATAATGTGAGTGGCAAGATCATTCTGGGATAATAAAAGAACTATAAACTTAGATTTGGTAGATCCACTTGGAGGGGGAAAGCATAATAGCACAGGCTGTAGTCAGGAATGCTCAGATTTAATACCTTGCTCATGGAAGAAAGACTCAACATTGTGAAAATGTCAATTCTACCCAAATCAATCTACAAATAGAGTGCAATCCCTATCCAAATACCAACTGCATTCTTTAAAGAGATGGAAAAACTAATCATTAACTTTATACGGAATAGGAAAAGGCCCCGGATAAGTAAAGTACTATTGAAGAAGAAGACTAAAGTAGGAGGACTCGCACTTCCTGACCTCAGAACCTACTATACAGCTACAGTAGTCAGAACAGCCTGGTACTGGTACAACAACAGATAAATTGACCAATGGAACAGAATTGAGAACTCAAATGTAAATCCATCCCCCTGTGGTCACCTGATCTTCGAAAAGGGCCCAAAGTCCATCAAATGTGAAACAGTCTTTTTAACAAATGGTGCTGGCAAAACTGGATATCCATCTGCAAAAAAATGAAACAGGACCCATACCTCACACCGTATACAAAAACTAATTCAAAATGGATTAAAGACCTAAATATAAAACCAAAAACTATAAAGATCATAGAAGAAAAAATAAGATCAACGCTAGAGGCCCTAATACATGGCATTAACAGGATATAAACCATAACTAACAACACACAAATTCCGGAAGATAAGCTAAATGAAATATGTATGCTTATCAAAAGACTTCACCAAAAGAGAACGAGAACCTACAGACTGGAAAAAAAAATTTTAGGTTATGACAAATCCTACAGAGGTCTAATGTCTAAAATCTACAGGAAAATCCACCACCTCTACAACAAAAAGACAAATAATCCAAATAAAAAATGGGCAAGGGAAATGAACAGACACTCCACCAGAGAAGACATTCAAGCAGCTGACAGACACATAAGGAAATGCTCACGATCACTAGCCATTAAAAAAATGCAAATCAAAACCACAATGAGATACCATCTCACCCCAACATTACTGGCAGGAAATCCAAAAAACAGAAAATAACAAATGTTGGTGAGGCTGCAGGGAGCCTGGAACTCTTATGCACTGCTGGTGGGAATGCAAAATGGTACAACCATTTTGGAAAATGATATGGCACCTCCTTAAAAAGCTAGAAATAGAAATGCCATATGATCTGGCAATCTCACTACTAGAAATATATCCTAGAGAAATAAGAGCTGTCACATGAATAGACATATGCACACCCGTGTTCATTGTAGTATTACTCACAATAGCAAAAAGATGGAAACAGCCTAAGTGCCCATCAACAGGTGAATGGATAAAGATTTACGTACACACAGGGAGTACTGTGCAACGATAAGGAACAGTGATGAATCTGCGAAGCATCTCACAACGTGGATGAATTTGGAGGGCATTATGCTAAGTGAAATAAGTCAATCACAAAAGGACAAATATTGTATGAGACCACTACTATAAAAACTCATGAAAAGGTTTACACACAAAAACAATCTTTGATGGTTACGGGGTGGGGGAGGGGTGAGGATGGGGAAAAAAAAAAAAAAGAATGCTCAGGTTCACACGCAGGATCTATTGCTTTTTAGCTGTGTAACGTTGGCTAAGTTCCCTAACCTCTCTGATAAAGCTCTTAGTACTGTGCACCAGTAAGCGTCCTATAAATATTAGCTTTTGTTGTTTTTGTGATTATAAAGTCAGATCACTATAATTTGCCTGAAAAGAAGTGAAAGTGACCCATTTGAGTTTTACATTTTCTCTTTTTTCTTTTACTGTGCAGACACTGATTTGGTCCTGGTAATTGGAGCTAATGATACTGTTAATTCAGCAGCTCAAGAAGACCCCAACTCTATTATTGCAGGCATGCCAGTCCTCGAGGTCTGGAAGTCAAAGCAGGTGAAGTTTTAGACTTGTGTTTTTGTTCTAATAGTCAAAGATTACTTAAAATATGTGCATAGAACTTTCCTTGATCACTTAATGGGAAGTTATGATGCCTTTTAGGAGGCCCAGGAAGTTAGAGCATGTTTAGGACCTAGTTCCCTATGTCCAAAGGATCCCTGGTGGCACAGTGGTTAAAGTGCTCAACTGCTAACCAAAAAGTCTGTGATTTGAACCCACCAGCTGCCCCATGGGAGAAAGATGTGACAGTCTGCTTCCATAAAGATTACAGCTTTGGAAACCCTATGGGGCAGTTGTACTCTGTCCTCTAGGGTCCTTATGAGTCAGAATCAACTTGATGGCAACCAGTTTTTTTTCCGTGTGTTCAGCTTCTCTTTGTTCTGTGGCCACCAGAGAACTTGAGTGAATGTGCCCTGGTCACATGTAGAACCAGATGAGATTATGTAGATGGATTAACAGAATCTTTAATCACAGCTGAAAAAAGGCTGAGTTCCAGATCTAGTCCAGTGAAACAGATGGCTTCCCTCTGGGACAGTGAGTCAGTATCATCACCTTCATATATGAAAATGAGCATATTTCTTTCATTTATTTATTTATTTATTTATTTATTTATTTATTTATTATTGTACTTTAGATGAAGGTTTACAGACCAAATAGTTTCTCATTAAACAGTCAGTACACATATTGTTTTATGACATTGGTTAACAACCCCATGACATGTCAACACTCTCTCTTCTCAACCTTGGAGGACCTTTGTTTTTTAGTGAAACTATACATAGCCAAAGTTACACCATTTCAAAAATTTATACACGTACAGTTCAGTGACATCGATTACATTCTTCAGTTGTGCTGCTATTCTTACTATCCTTTGCCAAATTATTCCATCACCATTATCTTCAACTCACTGTCCCCTACCTAGGCTTCCCATCAAACCTTTTGAGTTACTGTTGTCAGTTTGATCTCATAGATATTTCTTTTTTTTTTTTTTTGTACCATAGATGAAGGTTTGCAGAACAAATAGTTTCTCATTAAACAGTTAGTACACATAGTGCCCTATGACAATGACTAACAACCCCATGACATGCCAACACTGTCCCTTCTTAACCTTGGGTTCCCTATCACCAGATTTCCTGTCCTCCCGTGTTCTAGTCCTTGTCCCTGGACTGCTGTGCCTCAGGAGTGACTTCACCACTGAGCTAAAAGGGTGTCCAGGAGCCATACTCTAGGGGTTTCTCCAGTCTGTGTCAGGCCAGTAAATCTGGTCTTTTTGTGTGTGTTAGAATTTTATTGTACATCCTTCTCCAGCTCTGTCCAGGACCCTCTGTTGTAATCTCAGTCAGAGCAGTTAGTGGTGGTAGGTGGGCACCATCTAGCTGTGCTAGACTCAGTCTGCTGGAGTCCTTGGTAGCCGTGGTCCATTAGTCCTTTGGACTAATCTTTTCCTTGTATCCTGTTCTCTTTGTTCTCCCTTGCTCCCAAAGGGGTGAGACCAGTGGAGTATCTTAGATGGCTACTCACAGGCTTCTAAGACCCCAGATGCTACTCACCAAGGTGGAATGTAGAACATTGTCTTTATAAACTGTGTAATGCCAGTTGAGCAAGATGTTCCCCAAGTCTTTTATTTTTTTGAAAGGGAATTTTTATGTCATTATGAAGTGCCTAGCAGAAAGGTGATTTAGAATCCCACATAATAACTTAATGCATAGGGAAGTGAGCTTTGCTCACACACATTACTTCTGAAAAAGCTAATTACTAGATTTCAGAGAATGCAAAGACTTGTGAGTTTTCCTTTACTCCAGCAGTGGGCACATCTCTTTACCACTACTGAATCATATCTACATTTTAAAAATCATAATAACATAATGTATATTTCCCCTTTGGTTTCTTTTTATTATATATATGATGAGTTCAAAACTTACGACAGTATTTGTGATGAGGGAGTAGATATGAAATAACTCATGTATATAAAAATTATTGCCTCATTAATCAGTATTTGAGAGTTTGCAGAGTATATAACTGTACTAATGCTACACAAGGCATGGATAAATTTGCACTGCTTCCATTTTTGGATAGATTAGATGTCCTAGAAGATCATAGAAAGATTTTTCATTTCATTAAGGGCAGACTTAATTGATAGTCAACATGACAGTAATATCCATAATATGTGTAATTGTGAATGTTTATAATACATCAGTATTATAGATTGACCTATACCTTCCCATTTTGCTTTATATTTTATAGGAGCATAGTTTATGAGCTCTGTCCTCGTAAGAAGCTGTATTGCTCTGTTTCCAACGGGGTTTTGTCCTAGAACTTTCTAGTACACTTTGTAAAGTGACAGAGTAGGAAACATGCCCTGTTTTCCCACTCAGTTGCATAATTTTAGTATTTGTAGCAGAAGCTTCTGCACTAAGTTTGTTCTCTTACCACATTCATATGAAGATGTTTATTTTTCAAGTTAGAAAATGTTATACATAGTTTTTCTAGATACAAGCTCTGAGAGGAAAATAATCGCTTGTAATATTATCATTCAGAGATAACTATTGTTAACATGTTTTTTCCTCTAATAGATAGAAGAGTATGAGCCCGTTTTAAAAATTAAAGTTACTACGGTGTAAACATGCATTTAAAAATACTCCGTGTGTATTTTAAAAGTCTCTGTATTGAATAATTACCTTGTACAAAGTGAGCGCCATATTTGAGTGCCTTTCGCATCCTAACCAGGTCTGCAAAATACATTCTCTCACTTACTCTTTGGTTCCTAGGTCATTGTTATGAAGAGGACTTTGGGTGTTGGCTATGCTGCCGTGGACAATCCAATCTTCTACAAACCTAACACGGCCATGCTTCTAGGCGATGCCAAGAAGACATGTGATGCACTGCAGGCGAAAGTTAGAGAATCCTACCAGAAATAAATATTAAAGACCAAGCCAATGTCCAACCAAGCCACCTCTTAAATTGCATGAACAGGCAAATAACTTATACAGTATACACAGCTGATGTACATCTGTAGGAAAGCCCTTGGAAGAATAGAAAGACTCTGAAGAAAGCAAAGCCAGTAGAAGGAGTTTTTCAAGATCAGTGATCCCCCAATCTTAAAAAGGGATAGAAAGTTCTAAATGTCTTTCTGTGCATATTTTTTGTGCTATGAGTCAAAAATATTTTATAAAAGGAGAAAATACAGCCTCATTTTAGATGCAGTCTGGTTGGATTTTTTTTTTTTTTTAAATTCCTCCTTAGCAAGCAGTGTTTTCAGAAATTAAATGTTCAGGATTTCAGGACTTAAACGTTATACGTGGGTCTGAAAAATCTAACGCAATGTAAACATTACATGCACCTGCATTTGTTTATGTTTTTTCACCAAATGTATCTAATTTGAAATTTTATCAACTCCTGAGCTGTCCCTTTGCAATTTAACCATAGTTTGAATTAATCATACAAAATTGATTTTAATTTTCTAACTGTACTTCAGATTCTAGATTTCAGGAGTCTATTTTATTACTTCTATTTTAATACATTAAAGGACTAGATCATCTTTCAGAGATGCTGGAAGCAATTAAATCATTCTCTTTGGATTTTCGTTAGAACAGCAATGAAACGTAATTTGAAATCATTGTTAGTTGTATTTTTGAAAACCCCATTTCCAATAAGAGATCTTATCTTAAATTTCAAATTATGGTGTATAGTGCTGTTTTATTAAGTGCACTTGAGTGGAATTCAAATATTTGACTAATAAAATGATTTATCATGCTTACACAGTGATGTGGCAGTTGTCTCTGGTGACAAAAAGCTAAAATTGAATACTTCTGCCTGTTATTAACATCTGGGGAAGACTCGATACTATGAAATAGATGAAATTAATCTGTCTTAACTGTTTATAAGGATGGATTTTTCAAGTTAGAATGTATCTTGAGGTCTTATATAACTGATGACATTTGAGAGAAATGGTGGCAATTTTTTAGCTACCTCTTTGTTTATCTGAGCACCAGTAAAGATCACGCCGTTTTGTAGTAAAAGTCTAGATTTTCTTTGTGATTTTGCTTCTGTGCTCTATATATGCTCTATATATGTTGAATGTGTGATGAACACTTAGAGTGTCTGTCTCTCTATATAATTAATTTGGTACTAATTTTCTCAAAATAATTAAAAAATAACACATAAGACCATCTCTAAACCAGACAAAGAAATAGCTGGTACAACATTTTTTACTGTAATGTCCATTTTTGCCCAGTTTTCAATTCAGTATATGTTGGTTTGGTAATCAGCTTTGTTTTGCTGTGCCTGAGATTAAGATCAGAATGTATATGCACCTGCGCACATGTGTGTGTTTTAAAGAAGGGAAGACTCCTTTTAAATTTTCGAGTGATAAATGCAATTGGTTAATGGATCTCAGGTCACTAATACATCAGGACTGAATTATATTGTGAAAGTTCTAGTAGGAGAAAGTAAGCAGTGTCTTTATTCATGTCATTTTCCTTCTCTCACAGTTGTTGCAGGCATATCTGGAAAACAGTAACTTGGATTTTTTTTTGAGATAGCTCCTGCATTCAAATTAAACTAATCATACTTGGACTTAATAGTTGGCTTTTGTTTTAGTAGAATTTTAGTGAAAAATTTTTCTCTACGAATCTCTATTTAGGATAGTGTCTTTCTTCCAATTGTGTTAATTGAATTGAAAATTTATGCTCATATTTATTTTATTTTACTTTATTGGCTGTGATATTTAAAGGAGTTCTTGGAGGCATAATTTTTAAAATTAATACTCCAAAAGGTGGGTGGTCTTGGATTATTTATTACTGTTTAAACAGTAATAACAACAGTTTTCATCTGTCCTATTTTTTGATTTTTTCCATTTTTGATAACT